GGGGCGGAGTTAGGGTGGGAAGGAGCGGAGTTGGGGCAGGGCTGGGGTGGGGAAATGGGCGGGGCCAGCGCCCGTGGAGGGTCCTCTTTTTTTATTTGTTAGATATGGTAACCCTAAGTATGCCTCATATACACATAATTCTCTCTTCCAAGAAATGTGCCTACATCTGTCTGTTCTATTAAGCTACATTTTATCACTTTTCTTTCCAGTCTCATAAAATATCTATAAACATTTTGGTTATACAGTAAGCTTTACCTTGCTGAAAAATTGTTAAGACAATAGTGCAATCATAATCAGAAAACAATGTGTCTGTTATAAATAGAGATATCAGTTTACTATGCACAGAAGTGTTATAACCTTGGGAAAAATCCTTTTTCTGCAGCCATGAAATAAATTGCCAGCTATTATCAAAAATGTTTACTTCACACTATTAACCCTTTCTCAGCTATACTTTCACCACTGGGCTATGGTATCTGCCTGGAATCCACAACATTCCAAGCTTGGCAGAAAATTTACGATAGCCACTATATTAGTTGTGACAATAATTTATCACAAAAATAACATTTTCCTTTTCTTTCCCCAACAGTATTCAGAGTCAGATGAAACAAGTAATGAACTTTACAAAGCTGAAGGCCAGGCTTGGCTTTTGTCAGTCATGGACCAGTGATAGTTTTAAAATTTGCTTTCACTCAAGCTGCCAGGTTTGAAATTGTATGTTGATATATACCAGGTTCATGTCAAGAACATCATGCTTCACCTTGGCGGCATGTGTACATGCATACTGTACATTCTCTTTATTCACCCACATACTGAGCAAATTTCAAACACCAGGAAGGTTGAAGTGAGATCGTTTTATTGTACATCCTGCTCTTAAATAATAGTTTCTATCCTCATCTCTGCACATCAGGACACAAATTTCAGGAATCTATTGGCTTTGCACATTGTTCATGATAAAGCTACTGGAAAAAACAGTTCTGGACACGTTAAGGGAGAGCTGTTCTGAACCTTTATTTTGGAATTTAATATCTTAAACCACATTGGGTTAGTACTTTCTGTTCAAATTGTCAAAATACTCATGTTAGTTGTAGAAAAGCCATTTGAAAACAATTAAAATAGAATGCTACTGTTAATGTTTTGGTAAAGGAAATTTAAACTCTGTTAAAATGGATTACATTTTAAAACTTCATCTTTATAAGCACTTACTAGGCTAAACTTATTTGAATGTGAGCCATGATTCCCGGGTTCTGTTAACAAGCCAGTAGAAGATCTAATACATTAATTCCTTGGGGAACCCTCAAGGGCCAATTTTTAAAAGGGCTGGAGCTCAGTCTCCCTTTTGTGGACACAGTCTTCACTCTCAAACTGAGGGCAAAGATCAGAATACTTGAGCTATCTGATTTATGCCTGTAATCAAGTGGTTTGACAAGAAAATGTCTGGAATCCAGTTACAAATTCTGCCACTGTGAATTATACTTGACAACAGGAGAGCTCTCCATCCTCACCATTCATATTCTGTGTCTGAGCTTCTCCATCTATAAAATGGGGAAAATAATACTTATACAATATGACAGAAGATAATGTCTGATCTAATATTAAAAGGGAGGTGTGTGGCAACCCTACTCCAATTATCGTGCTGCTGTAGAGATTGTCTCAACCTTAGCTATTTTGACATTATATTTAACAGTTATTATGATGTACCTACATAAATATAATGGCTTCTTGACATCTGTGTGAGTTCTTACTCTCAAAAGTAAGCTTGTATAGAGCACATGTGTGTGAATATACATGCCATGTGGTGGTGATGTCATGTGATAAAATAAATGTATCACGTGCCTTTGGTCACATATTTATCTCCACCCTCTCTCTTCTGAATTTTCCAATCTTTTATGTGGCTTTTGATAGCTACCCATTTCTCCCTCCCCCCACCTCCCCCCCAAAAATGACCTGTCAGAAAAATGTTTCCTTCTTGCTCCTAAATGTGAATCCCTACCAAAAAAACCCAATTAAACGAAGAAAAATACATTGGCCCAAGGCCTGAGATGTGCAGTATACAATCCTGAACCAGTGACCAGTTTAAAATCCAAAACAACCTAAACTTTAAACTGAGCTTTAAATTTTTATTCTGTTAATATATGGCATATGCAGACTACATGATGGTGTGCTGTGATACAGTCTGCTAAAGCCAGAAGTAATCGATTACTTCAGGATAAGGAATAAAGGCTTGTACAATGTAAACTATAGAACCTAGCCAGCATTACTCATGTGAAAAATTAAATGAGATATTTAATTATCCTAATTGTTAAAGGGCTTGTTCTTATGTCTCATGTGAGATGAGCCTTTAGCTGTATCTCCTAAGAACATGATGGAGGTAATGCTAACGTGGATTGGAGTTCCATCTGCTGACTCATTAGCATGACTTCCTGTGTCACCTAAGTACTGCCCATGCTTAATGTTTAGCTAATGAGAACTTATGAGAGAGTGCAATAGGGTGTGTCACAAGATGCAAGAGACACTATTTGGTCCTTGGTGATCAAAAGGTTAACTTGAGTGCTACTTATCTCCTCTAGGAGAGGGGCTATAAGAGTAGCTGCTCAAGAGAAAGGGGGAAGGAATACATTTGGGAAAGTCAATCCCCACCATAGCTCACAAAGGTAGGTTTAACCTTTGAGGGCAAAATACCTTGCTGGTTGTCCTTTTTATTCCCTGCTAACTCTCTCCACCAATTTAGTATATTTCTCAGCTATTGGGTGCCATTGGATGACAGATACAGGAAAGTCTGCTGCCTGATGTGCCCCGCTAGTACAGAGATGTACACTCTGATGTTAATTTTTGCTAATGTAATTTTAGTCTTTCATTCTGTATAGATCATTACAAAAATGAAAACATTTTTTTAGGAAGAGTTTTATATAACATTACCTATAACATTACTGGAATGGGTTACCTCGGGAGATGGTGGAATCTCCTTCCTTAGAGGTTTTTAAGGTCAGGCTTGACAAAGCCCTGGCTGGGATGATTTAGTTGGGGATTGGTCCTGCTTTGAGCAGGGGGTTAGACTAGATGACCTCCTGAGGTCCCTTCCAACCTTGATATTCTATGGTATTCTATGATTCTACTTCACTGCAGGGAGAAAAAAGAAAAACTCTGTTCCATAGGGCCAACATCAGAGAAAAAAAAGATTGCATTAGTTCTAAATTTCTTTGTGTTATGGTAGCAGCTAGAAGCTTGCATCATGGCCCCTTCGTGCACTATACCCACACTCTCACAATGCATACACTCTCTTACGTACATGCGCACATGTATATACACGTATACACATGCTTGTGTACACACATGCACCAAATCTCTGCTGCAATAAAGGTAAAACTATAATGTCCAGCTTTGAAATCTCCCATCTTCCACCAGTTAATGATTTTATTTATTTCAGTTCTTGTGCATAAATAATCTTTAGTTGCACATACACGCCAAATCTTGCAGTAGCATTACCCACTTCCTGTACCCATCTGCTATACTTGCAGGCAGTTGGGCTGTTTTAAAGTTATTCTTTTACAAAGAAATTGAAATGGGGAACAGTAAAGGTAGAGCTTTTTAAGTTGTCAGCAGAGCACAGCACTTGTGCT